ATCAGAGTATCGTTAGGATAATTGGTATTAAGGGAGTGTCTGCTGAATAATAAACCACTTCAGCACCCGTACATCACACACCTAATCTCTTTTGATTGGGTGGCGGTTGGCTTAACGGCACCCTCGCATGGGTCAACAAAAAGCTGTTGCTATTAGCAGCTGGGGCTCCTGATTCCATCAGAACCATGCAGGCATGCTAAGAATCATTTATGAGGACCAGGACTATGTCAGATTCAACTTACTTTGAACTGAATTGCACACATGAACCCAAAGGCCAAGAAAACATTGTTAAGTACTGCTTCACTTTTAATCCCTGTTGCTATTGTTTGTTTATTCAACATTTTTCTATAAATATATTCTTCCTTAATTTTTCTTTTCCTTTCATTAAAACTATATTTTAAAATTGTTAAGCTGAATCTCTAAAGGCTCTAAATCATACATTAAGAATCCTTGCCTCTATGAGGGCTTCTGAGGGCTTCTTAAAACTCTGTACATTCCTATCTGGTGGGGCAGTGAGTGTCACAGAATTGCATTAGCAGATGCTGTGATCTGTGCATGTTTCCATCAAAAACACGTGGTGGCTACTACTGTTTGTATGTGTGAAGGGTTAACTGCAGATTAGATTGTTATCCTGCGAGTGGCAGAATCTCTGCTCAGGGTGAGACAGAGAGTGCCATACCTCACATTCTGAAAGCAGCAGTGGGGTTTCAGACTGCCACAACTACATCAAGGTACTTCTGTTTATATCTTGTTGACCTGGTGGACACCAAACTGGTTTACTTCTAACATCAATATCTTTTATTTAGATGTTGAGCTTCATTCTACATTTGAGAAAAAGATTGAACTGAAATATTCCTTCTGGGTAGGTAATTGTAGGATGAGTCTTTTCCAGATTTCTTATACCTTTCCTAAAAGGCAAACATTTAGGTCATTCCACAGCCCTGACACGGATATCATTTTACTTGGCTTTACCCCAAGTGAAGTCAGTCCACCAACTCCAGCCAAACTCTCCATAATTGATATGGAAAATGCAGCTGTGAGAGCATGACACATTCAAACAGCCAAAAAGCTGGGCAAGCCAATATTGATCACAGTGGGGGAATTCAGGATAGATATAAGAGAAAAAGTCATTTCATTTCTTGTTCTCAGGCCATGTACTTAGCCTTAATGGGCGGCTGTATTGTAGAACATTAGCTTTTTAAATGTTGCGAGAGACACTTGCAAACTTCTTATTTCTTCCTTTCCATTCCTGCTTTCACAGTGCTAGAATAATGTGAACACTGCTTTGTCTACTTGCAGGATATTCTCAGTCTACATTGTTCTCCATCTGGTTTGGCAACTTAGATTAGGCAAGCATATGCTTCAGGTCAATAAAGTGAAGCCACCATAGCCAGAAGGGGGACAGCAGAGGCTTTTCTGGACAAGAGTGGTAATAGCAGCCATCTTGTGGTGTCTACTCGTAGACAGCTGTTTTACTTTCAGATAATCGGGCTGGAGAAAAGTTTCACTATACCACCTACAGACTACCTATAAATCTTAAGGTGCCAATACACCTTACAATTATCTGCAGATGTTCTGTGGTCAAATAGAAAAGGTGCAACAGATTCCTCCATCTCCACTTAACTGTGTGGATGGAGTAATCTCCACCTGGGCCAATCTGTTGCACTTTTTCCATCTGACCACAGAAAATCTGCAGCTAATTGTAAGGTGTATGGGCACCTTAAGTTATAGGAAGAACCAAGTAAAAGTACTGCCTTCCTTACCCTCCTCCCTCACAGCATAATGTGTACCACTATCTTACAGGTATACAATAAAGGGGACCTGTCATGAAACATAATAAATCTGTGAAAAACATACTGTATAATGTAAGCAGCTATTCCCTGACTGATGTGCCACATAGCTGTTCGTTGTTTTTCACAGGGAACTTATTCAGTTTCAGTCTGAGTGAAGCCCTTTCCCTGGTCCATGAGTTTGGGAATGGTTGCGTCCATCTTTTTCTAAAACAGGTATTTCAACTACCTCTGAACTTGGGACTTGATGTTCAAGGTGTTCAAGGAGGAAAGCCCCAAAAGTAGGGTGTATATAAACCAGATTCACTTTTATTCAGACTATTCTCTTATATAAAACCATCTTGTTTCTTGGATTTTAAGGGCCCCCCTTCATTGCTTTAGATGCTGGCTAACCCTCATCTGGAGCAGTCATTATAGGTACCCCTCTGGATCCCTCCATTTGTATCAGGTCAGTACACACTTTGATCAACTGTACCAAGTCCTGCAGAAGGGGGACCCTTTGAACTCCTAAAACACATTGGCTTTTTTATGACATAAGTGTCTGAATAAAACTGAACCTGGACATTATGCATTCTGCTTTTGGTGCTTTCCTCTTTGCACACACATCTGCTACTTGAGCAAAGAGCTGACATTTGTCCACCACTCTCGGGAGAGCTGCCTAAGGAGACTCATTCCCTCTACACTGCCTAAGACCTGACTGAGAACACCTACTGCTTTAAGAGAGCCAGTGCCCCACTTCTTTCTTCTACATTAAAGTGTACTTGTCAGCCATGTAAAGTTGAAAAATAAAAGCCCTTTCTAAGAGTATTACCTTTAAGAACCTGAAAACCCTAAATATGTATATATGATATGGGTGTCAGGACACATGCTGTCATTATGAGCTCAAGAACTCTAGATACGTCACACCCCTCTAACTAAGCCTCTTCCACTGTCATTGGATAATGGGTGGCTGGAACGTAAAGCTGGAAAAGTATATCTCGAAAACATGAATCAGTTGAGCCACCACTGAAAAAGTGTGCTCCGTACTGCTCAGTGCAACCCATGTGCACAGAAGGGGTCTTTCAGGTTAATGAAGGTAATATACAGCACATTGTGGAATCTGCCCTTGGGCAAGACATTTACTTTTCAAACCTTAAAAAGGGTAAACAGGTTTTCTTTAATGAAGAACCCCAACCAGGTATAAAAGGCACACATTTCAGATATTGTGTATATTCATAATTACATCATTAAATGCGTTTTTAAATGCAAAAAAAGGGGGGAGAGAGAATTATCATAGTCAGGTGTTCTTCAGTGCAATGACCATGCTGATAGAAAGTGACAGCAGAGTGACAAAGCGATAAGCTGCTTCTCTTTTCTTATCCAGTCACAAAGTGGGGGTGGGGCACATGTAAATTAAAGTGAAACTGAAGCAAGAAAAGATCAGGTCCCTTCTCCTGCTGCGTCCCTGGGAATTTTGTGACAAGCTGAAGATGCTTCTTAAGAAGCATGTTCAAACGTATATGCTAGAACTGCTAAAAAATGAAGATAACACTGACTGTAACTTTCCATCTTCCAGCAACCAGAAACAGGCAAAATGAATTCCTGCTGCATAACCTCCCATCATGGCTCTCTGCTGTTATGTAATCCAGCCTGGGTAATAACAAGTATCAATGTAATGTCATCCAATGTTAAACGAAAAGATTATACAGTTACTCTTCATTTATAATACAGTATATGTTAACCTAGATATAAAAGCACCGAGACTAAAGCAATGTTCAGGCATTTGCTTAACGTACATTTCACTGAAGTTGTTTCCTTGCCCCTAGCTATGCATTTTTTTCCCTTCTGTTCATCTCATGAAAGTAAAGTAGCTGCTGCAGGTGTTGCTTGCTGTGCAGTTCAGTCAATGATAGTCTGCAGTGCAGAATATGACATTCCTGACAGCTGGCCATTAGAGGGAAATTTTCACTCTGACTGAAGGACATCACGATAGTTTTTAAAGGTGGATTTATATTCAGTTATGCACCAAACAAGTAGTAAAAAGCATCAGTATAATTGCTGGGGGATGCAGTTTTTAAATAACATAGACTTCACCCAATGGGAATTAATATATAACATTAATCTTAATTGATAATTGTATAATATATAATTACAAATCTATTTTATTTGATAATGTTCAATAAAATTAGGAATAGCAATGAAACAGAAATAAACTGATACGTTTGGTAAAGCTGACAAAAGCAAAAACCACCACAGTGGATGGATCATGGCACCCCAAGGCATGATCCATCCACAGTTGCACAACTGCTTTAAGACACTTTCCAGAACATGAAAGGTTCTGCCACTGGATATGTGCCAAATCTGATACTGTTGTATTAGGTGTAATTATTGCCATGAATAGTGGCAAAACAATTTGTGGATAGGCAGTTCTCAGTCGAGAGTCAACACCATCAGATATAATAAAAACAGAAAAAACATAAACAGCGCTCTCAGATGGGAAAGAGTTAACTTGTAGACATGTATGCAGCCCTGGGAAACAGGAGGAGAACCTGTAAATGCAGATAATCAAAAGAACAAAAGAGGGCGCAAAACACACTGGCTAGCCAGTGTGTTTTGCGCCCTCTTTTGTTCTTTTGACCATCAGATATAATGCATGATTGATGCTACCCATTACATCACATATTTTTTTATTTTTTTTGCATTATAAACCCATCGTCACCTTCTAAATCACTATGTTATATTGCATGCATACATATAAAATACACTTCCATGAGAGTTTTAGCAATGCACATTAAAATAAATAAAACTACTTTATTGGATGCAGAAAAGGTTTGCCAATTCCTTGTCATTTCTAGAATGTGTCTTAACAAATATTTGAGTTATTTGAATTAAAATGTAATTTTGTCAAAATTAATTAAATAATTATTGTATAATTGTAAACTAAAAGTTTAACCATTATTACATTTTGTAAAGTCCTATTTTCATTAAAAATTTTGTTTATCATTTAACAACAAAGCATAATAAGCACATAATCCACTGCTGTGGTGGAGGCAGCTCAGTTCTTCCCACACTGTTATATTGCCAACTTGTTAAACACACCACCAACTTGCAGTATGTAAAATTCTAAGCTCATTTCTTAACTTGCCAAACTATTGGAATGAGTGTGTTTGTTTTCTTAATGTGCTTCTCACCCCTGGAAAAAAAAAAGAGCAAGCTTATTTATTACTTTACCTCCGAAATTACGTCCTTTCCAAGAGCTTGTCAGTATACAAAGGTGTCTTGTGCTCGTCTGCTGCACAAGGTATTCCTTATATACCCTGTAGCTGTAGGTTTGAAAGACTTGCAATGGTGTCTGGAGGGACACGAGGAAAACTCATATGAAAGGCACTTTCATTAAAAAAAAAAACAAGCTTATAAATACCAGACCCTCTGTAAAAAAAAATTGTCCAAGGATCCTAAGGCTGAGGAATCAGGTTTCTGTATAATAACAAATGCCACAACCTTAGCTGGGATTACTTGCAGATGTGCACAAGGTTTATCTCTCAGTCCGGTGCATATACTGTATTTCATTCATTTTAAACTTTCTTCATGAATGTAATGATAACTGCATGGATGTGTAATTTGGGCCGTTTGCTGAAATATTCCACTGTTGGTGACTTGCTTTTAAGAAGGATCTGATAACAAGTCAAAAATAAAAAGTGTTACAAATAAGCAATAAGTAATAATATATTTTTTTGTATTATTAAAAAAGAAAGGGGATCAAAGGGAAAACTCATTTGCACTGGGACATAGTCCCCGTACACTCCTAGGTGTTTTGTTGCTCAAAGGTAAGCGTGACAAAATGCTCAAGACAAGGAATACCATTCATTTCTATGGCCCCTGTTCACACTTTAGTGTTTTGTAACAAGCAGAAAAATGCCTGTTGCTGGAAAAAGTACATGAGCTGCTTTTTGGGAGATTACAAAGCTTTTTGGTCCCATAGACTTTAATGGGAAAGTTTGTGCGACAAAACACACGACAAAATGCTCAGGTGTGAACAGGGGCCAAAGAAATGAATGGGATTCCTTGTCTTGAGCGTTTTGTCGCGCTTACCTTTGAGTGACAAAATGCCTAGTTGTGGACAGAGCCTTAAATTGAATGTTCTAATTATAGTGATGGTTGTAATACTTCCAAGCTTTTTGTATACTTTAAAAATGCATATTTCTAATAATATATTTGTGTACTTACCCTTAAAGTACAACTTCAGATAAGTAAGAAGGAATTAATTAAAGCTGAAGGGTGTTTCTTATTTTTCTTATCTTTCTGCAATTTCTCCATGATTTACAATATAGGTGCCCCCCCCTGGGAATTCTTCTCTTGAATTGGTCAGAAATAGGGCTCTGTCCTTTTAATTTCTGTTTAATAAGACCAGTGGCCACTATGCTCGCTATTCCCCTGGCCACTGGTGTAGTTTCATAGTGTCCCAGTCTGACCTGTCCACTTATTTTGCATCATTTGATTGATAGGCCAGGCCCATCCAAGCCTGCTGTAAGCAACTGGTAGTTCTGTCAACATATCCACCCACCATCACGCCCACAGTTACAGTGAGTGGCAATGTAATTCCCTTGTAGTAGTCGAATTTTGGAGGGCATTACTCCAAAGGTCATTTCTTAACCTCTCAGTATTTCTCCATGATTAACAATACAGGTTCTACAATAAAGTCAAAGAAGGGGTTCTGTCCCTTTAATTTTATGTTTCATAAGATCAGTGGCTGCTATGCCCATTATTCCCCTGGCCACCAGTCTTGTAACATGCGCTAAGTAGGGAATTTTACACTTCCCTTTTGACTCCAAGACAATAATCTGGGACTTTGTATTACGTAGCACAGAGGGCAAAAAAAAAACCAAAAAAAAAAATGATTTTTCTCATTCCTTACTCTATCTGAAGCTAAAAAGGTTTTGCCAATAGATACATAAATAGACTGTAATGAACTGCTAACACTATGGGAAAGCTGAAACTCTGGTCAGAGACGTAGCTAGCTCCTTTTGCGCCCAAGGCAAGAACAGAAAATAGTGCCCCCCAACAGACGTGTGATGTCAGCCGTGTGATGCACCCCGCCTCCAGGTTGGCAGTGCACATGTGCAGAATGCGCTGGCAGACAAATCCAAAATAGCATTAAAATTTGTTTCGTTTGACGAAACGAATGAAAACATTTTTAGTTTCCATTCATTTCGTCTGACACAAATTTTTAGTCTTTGCACATGTCTAATAAAATGTGTGTGTGAGTGTGCGTGAGTGTGCGTGTGTGTGCTATTTTTTTCTTCTTATTTATTTATCTTTTACTGTTGGGGAGCGTCAGGGACATATCAGGGGTCTAAATAGATCTCTGACATTTCCCTTTTAAAATAGAAAAAGAAATTAGAAAAAAGACATGGAGTCCTCAATCTCTTTTTCTGCAACCTCTGTTCTAATTGAATGGAAAGCACTCAGTACAGAGGCTTCCCATTCATTCAGAAACTTGTGATAGTAAAACATTTACTGTCATCCAGTTATCAATGGGTAGGAGCCTCTGTAGTGAGTGCTTCTACCCATTGAGAAACTCATGAATGAACAGGAAGGGATTTAAAGCCCTGGCTGTGCCCCCTCTCAGCTGTGCCTGAAGCGAGTGCCTCACTCGCCCCATGGTAGCTACGGCCCTGACCCTTGTAGCCAGAAAGTCTGAGTTCTTAGTTTGATATGATCTGAGTTTTATAAATCCATTTAAATTGTGCACAGTCCTTCTGCAGGCTCAAGTCACATGATTGTTTTTTGCGTGTTGCGCCCTTTCTCTGTTGAAGAGCCATCAAGTAGCCTACAAGTGTCAGGAATAATGTATGCATTTCAAGGCTTAACTATTGGTTTCAGCCGGATTGTTCCTGCTACTGTAACTTTCTCTGCCATAAATATGCAACTAACCATAACTGTTTTTCTGTGTTCCAAAGATAAATACAGAGCACATTTGACATAACAGGGAAGATGATGTAGCACCCACATTGGGAAAGTCTAAGTCTAGTTCTATCTATTCAGTATAACTTCTGTACCTGTTTGGTATATGATATGAGGACTGTGCAAGCTCAAGGGTAGAGCCATTGACCAGCTGCATGTGTAGTTTATACTTTAGCACAGTTTTTTCTTCATAGTTACAAAGAGTTGCTTATTCAAATAAAGTCGATTATACTGCAACTTATGGCTTCTGTAGTTATAATGGCAGAAGTATCCTGGTTATCTAATATAAAATATCCTGGACGTCTAATTTATCACCTGGTCAGCACAAAGACTCTATCTCAGCACTTTAAAAGTTATTTTTTATAAATTTATAGCATAATAGTCATTTCTGTTAGAGAAAGGGTCATTGTTGTAAGGTGTTATTATATATTATAGAGCTATTAGGGTACTAGGTAATGGTGCCTCACTCGCCCCATGGTAGCTACGGCCCTGACCCTTGTAGCCAGAAAGTCTGAGTTCTTAGTTTGATATGATCTGAGTTTTATAAATCCATTTAAATTGTGCACAGTCCTTCTGCAGGCTCAAGTCACATGATTGTTTTTTGCGTGTTGCGCCCTTTCTCTGTTGAAGAGCCATCAAGTAGCCTACAAGTGTCAGGAATAATGTATGCATTTCAAGGCTTAACTATTGGTTTCAGCCGGATTGTTCCTGCTACTGTAACTTTCTCTGCCATAAATATGCAACTAACCATAACTGTTTTTCTGTGTTCCAAAGATAAATACAGAGCACTTTAAAAGTTCTTTTATATAAATTTATAGCATAATAGTCATTTCTGTTAGAGAAAGGGTCATTGTTGTAAGGTGTTATTATATATTACAGAGCTATTAGGGTACTAGGTAATGGTCAATTGTGCTGGCTGGTGTGAATGGCTTCCTGGACATGTGGAAAATAATCTCCTTGATTATACATTGCTACAGAATATGTGGGCTCTACACTATCTAGCACTATTGGTATGTTTGCTCATGTACCACCATCATTGTTATTACAAACTCTTATGTATACTAATAAAAAGTACCACATGTTCCATCCACTTACACTGCTAGCCACCAGTTAGTATGACACTTTTTCCAAAACCTCCACTGGAACACGTAAGATCCCACACAATCTGTTTCACTATCCTGCTGATGGTAACTGGCAGAAATTATATTCATCAACAAGTCCGTCCTGTACAAAAACTAAAGCCCAGCAGTGTAGGGTACCACTAATGCTATTTCTTACATATTGCACACTCTTATAATCTTTGTAACATAAGAAATTAACAGTTCTGTTAGATTTATAATGTATTTCTTTATCTTATACAAGATCACAAAAGCTATATGCAACACACAAAATGTCCCTAAGGGAGTATATAACCGAAATACAGCCTTTGTCACATCTGAAAAAAAGATCCTGGGTTTTTAAACAAGTCTGCTGATGATTAAATATTATTAGGTCATCTGGAGACTTTTTTTTTTTTTTAGCTATTCTGAAAGTTTACCACAACCCCAAGAAAGAAACCAGTTTAAACAAGAGTAAGGTTATTGACATCTAAAGAATGCAGTCAGCTTGTAGTGGAAGATCTGAAACAAATTGACCCTTAGAGAAAATGATGTCATTTATCATAAACCTCTGTCAAATGTTTAATAGATATGTTTTATTATTTACACAGTTAATAGCATTACGAGGTCATGGCTCTGTAAAGGTTGTAGCTCCAAAGAGAGAGAGAAAACAAAGTTTTGGGCCTAATGCCTCTATTAATATCTATAAGAAATAGCATCAGGCAGATTAGAACGTCTGGGTGTAGCCAGGATGGCAGAGATGTGCTGTACGCCTCAGTTTAAGGAGTTATACTGAAGGTTTTCCTCTAGAGGAAAGTGTTGAAAGGACTGGAGGCTTGGAGGTAACAGGCCCGGCTGAAGCAAACTGGCTTGTTGGGGGCTCTTTAAGATCTCCCAGCTCCCAGTAGTTTGACACTGGAACCAGTCTGTGTGTCTGGGCAGACTGGGGAGCGGATCATCTGTGTGGTGAAAACCAATCTATGTGGCAAAGATGAGCCTGTGTGGTAATTTGATGAGTTCCAGCCTGTGTGGCAAGGTGACAAGAACCAGCCTGTGTGGCAAGTTGACAATTTGCAGCCTGTGGGGCAAGCGTGTAAGATACAGCCTCTGTGGCAAGAGTTTTGTTAATTACGCAGATAGGTGCAGCACAAGGTTCCTCCTAGCCATTAGTCAGGGAAAACTGTGTAGTAAGTCGCCAAAATGGCAAGGATTTATTTTCCTTTTTCTTTTGTTTTGCTGTTGTTTGGAGCTAGTAAAATTAGTAAATAAATTGCATGTGTGCATTTCACCAAAAGTCAGGGAGTGCAGTATTGCATTATAACCAAAATTCATGGCTAAATGGGCTGACTTCAACACAA